TGGAACCCCAGCAATTGGGAGACCAGTGATGTCATTTGCTAAGATAGAACACTTGATGCAAGAGGAGCCGTGATTCTGGTGACATAGGTGGACATCTGTTTCAGATGTTGCCATGTGTCTAGAATGTCCTATTTGAACAAAATGATATAGTTCTTAAATAGAGCTCTCTTCGCATTGATGTCTTATGACTTTCCTGTGAAGCTTCTTGAACAGCTTCGCTGACAGGAAAAGACAACAAAATGAGCCCAGGTGCTGGTTCTGTGATTTGGATCTCTCAAGTGCTTACAAGGAGAGATTTTGCCAGCTAAATCCAACAAATATTAATTCTTGTTCTGACTGAGGTCAGGATTCAGGGTGGAAAATTCTGCCTTGGAAATATTATGGAGATATTAGCTATTCCTTGCCAAGTACTTATACAAATTCCACATTAACTCAACTGGGCTCTAAAAAGAACAATGCAGAGGGGCCTTTCACATTAGGAAAGCGTGCAGGTGGAAGGTTTTCCCCTGCCTGACTTAGCTCATAGGATTCCTGAAGCCACTGGGTGCTCTGCACATAGATAGACAGAGAGGAGGGCTCCTTCTCATCATAACGAGCCTTGAGAAGAAGTAAGGACCAGGTGACCTTTTATTTTCCTTCTGGACCACTGCCACATGACTAGTATTGCTATTGTCCTCACCACTCTGTAGTCCTTGAGGTGTTAAGAAAGCCCCTCAAGTCCCAAGGGGAGGCCATGTAGCTCTGTGGCTAAGTACACACCTCGGCTCAATCCCTCTTCTCTCATTGCTCCCTCCGTCCCCCTCCCTCCTTTCCCTTAATCCCCCTTTCCCTCCTTCCTTTCCTCATCTCTACCCTCCTCACCTTTCCCCTTCGCCTTCCCTGTCCCTCTTTTTCTTTTGCTAGGGATCCAACCTACAACTCTTCTACAGTAGAACAGAGTTTTCTAAGGCAAATTCTAGCTTTTATACAGTAGGGTTCCTTGGAGAAACTGATGTATAAAATATCAGTAATCTGATCTTGTCCCCTTTTTAGTGTTATCTCAATCCTGCTTAAACCTCTTCAGGCTTACATGCCTTAGGAGACTGTAAACTTCATCTAGTTCCCAAGCCTTGCATGAGGTAGTTCTGGCGACTCCTATTCCGTGTATCACTTCTCATCTCTGGTTCTTTCTGCATTATCCTCAGCCTTTCTTTGGGAACTATTTCTTCTCAGCTGGGTGAACTGTTACTTTCCATTTATATCAATTCTATAGGACAATCCCCTGTGGGCAGGGTTGCTCCACTGTCTACACAGGGCCTTGGTTCTAACAGCTTCCATCACATGGCCTCATTCCCTGTGTCCTTGAATTCCCTCATTTTCCATGCTCTGGAACAGACCCAGACAACTCTTTCAACCCCCTTATGTGGCCGGGGAGAATCCAGCCTTAACTTTTCCTCCTACATGACCACAAGCGTTGTCATGCTGCAGAACCCTTAACAGCCTTCAATGGCTTCCCTTTATTCTCAGGATCAAACCTTTGCCATTTGTCATGGCACTCAAGACCTTGCCATATGACAAGAGGAGAGATAAAGTGTGTTGTGGGGACTGTGAGGATAATTTCCTTGCAAGTGGAAAATAGGAAGGCTGACAGGCTCCATTTCCTGAGCCAGGCTCCATTTTCCGAGCCTCTATGCACTTATGGAATATGCTCTGTCAGTTCCCACATGTCTGGGTCTTCACGGGCCAAAGGTTCAAATATGTGCCAATTTTGCCTGGTAATTTTTGTTTTCTATTTCTTTTTCAATTTGTGGAGTAGTAGGCTTTTGAATTTTTAAATTTGTGCAGCAAGTACTTTAAACAAAACACTACTATGTCCCATGAAATAAAGGACTTTTGTACAGCAACAAAGTTCACAATTGCAGAATAAAGGTCAGTACTCTGGGGTTTGGGGCTTCTTTTGCCTTCTCTGCACAACATTGAGCTATGGAGGAGGGAACTCAGTGGGCAGCTAGAATGATGGATAGGAGAAGGGAAGGACAGGATTCTGCTGTTGTGTTGTTTGTCTTGCTTCAAGTTGACAGAGGGTTTTCCTATATAACCCCAGCTGGCTTTAGTATTGTGGCAATTCTCCTGCCTTAGCCTCCTGAATGCTGGAATTGAAGGGATGAGCCACAACTGTCAGGAAAAAGCAATTACAACATGAACAGCAGTGCTCTGTTGCAGAGGATGAGTCCAAGCGGGTAGCCTCTTGGAGGAGCGGCAGGAAGGTGCAGAATCAATGGCACAGACTCTGGGACCCAGGTTAAATGTAAAAGTGTATAGACAGGCCTCTTATAGCCAGCGCCTGCTGGGACCCAGGGGTGGTGCTAGTCTGGAATGCTGTATTATCTCTCTCATTGACCCAGGTCATCACGATGTCAGCAGGTCATCATGATGTCTGCTGTCTCCAGGCCATGAGGTGGATTTCTGGTTGGCTCATAGGGAAGCTACCAATTAATATGTCTGATCGACTGGTCCTGAGCTGACTAGTAACCTTCTCCTATAGTACTCTCCTGATGAGCATCTTCAGTGGTATCAGGGTCCTGGTTGGTGGATGCCACCTACTAACGCTGTTTTTGGCTCTGGGTGAAGGCAACTCCCTTGAAAAAGTGGCTGGCATATAGACTCAAGGGCACATATAATTTGAGGAGGGCTTTGCAGCTGTTTGTCTGGGTAGCAATAGAATTTCATAGTCTTGGCAAGCTGTTGAAGTCCAGAGCCCTCAAGACATCATGGTTTCTCTGTCCACATGTTTCCCCCCAGGTCTGGTATGTAACAACAGGAGCCAAAATCTGAGCAGTGATTGAACATCAGACTGACCCCCTACAGAAAGCCACTGGGGTTACTAGCAGTGTTCTCAGCATACTCAGGACAAAGGCTGTGCTCTTAGAATGGCCCGCTGGCTCTTGTGGGTAATGACAAACTTTTCTGCCTTGTGAAAAAGGTCAACACTTTAGGAGTGGAACTTGAAGAGCTAGTGCTTTTTCTGTTTGCTGGCAACATTCAGGGCATGAGAAATTCAGGGAGGAGCTAGATGTACAGGGTGAGGAGAAGGGAGTAGTATGTTGACAGTGCCAGATATTGGTCCCAGAATTCAGATGCATTGGTAATAAGGAGGTTGTGTAAAGAAGACAGGGCAAGGATCATGGCTTGTTAGTGTTGATTTTCTGTGTGTAAATCAGTTTCATGTTCAATTGCAATTCAGTAGGGATGCAATGAGCCACCCAGTTCCAGGTGGGCACCTCTTTCCAACTGGAATATTCACCAGCCCTCTCAGATTCACATTAATCCCACTTATAAGACATTGAGAGACACACTAGGCCCCAGATACATCATCTTACAAAGGGAGAGTTATCTCATAGCCTTATTCAGGCATTTTGATTGACAAGGTCTTTTGTTTATCTGGTGTCATTTAATATGTTATAACAGCATTCTTTTCACTTGGTTCTTGCTCCTGCATCTAGGAAGGTTGTATTTTATGCTTATAGAGAAACATACATTTTAGGCTCTGCCTCATCACCTGCGATTACCTCCACTGTGATAGTTCAGTTTCATCCAGTTCTCACTACATTCCAGCCCACCACTTTCAACCACCCCAGTAACTCTTTCTCTGTTCAGCCAGGTCTGTTCCTTGGGGTTCTGAAAGTCCCTGCTCTTGGCCACTCAGCAGCAGGCTGCCAGTATTCTCCTGGTCCCTTTGACTGCATGGTCCCCTGGTTACTCCCTCAAAGTCAAGGCACTCCCACTCACTTATTCCCCCCCCTTGATTATTGAAGTGACACATAAGGCCATTATAAGACATAAAGGTCTATCCTATATTGCTGCTCTTCAGCTCCAGTTACAGTCCTGCTTTGCCCAAGGGAATGTCTACTCCTAACACTTTTGTGTGTGTTTGTGTTTTCCAGTCCCATATTTATTTAGTGCAGTGGACAGAATAGAAGCAGAGAAAGGTGGGGAGGGAGAGAGAGGAGGAGGGAGGGGAAGAGAGAGAGAGAGAGAGAGAGAGAGAGAGAGAGAGAGAGAGAGAGAGAGAGAGAGAGAGAGAGAGAGAGAGAGAGAGAGAGAGAGAGAGAGAGAGAGAGAGAGAGAGAACATATGTGGTGTTTCTGGCCAGGAACACTGGGAATGGCAGTAGGAGCCATCCTTAGAAATGACCAAAGACAGGTTCCATGCTGACACAGTGAACAGTAGCTATTTCTTTGTTCTGAAAGCTGGCTGTAGCCAAGCTCTTCTTGGGAGCTTTCTCTCCCAGGCTGCAGTAAGCTTTTGGTTGTTACTGCAGTGAGGGTATCTGCATTCTTGCCACCAGGGAGGTGGACTCCATTTGCAGAGATTCATGGGAAAATACTGCAGGGCTTTGTTGGTCACGGGGCATATTTTTCTGATCGATTGAGCGGCTGTGACCTTTCACAGTACTAACTCTGTCTCTAACACAAGCCTCGGCAATTATTCCCTAGAGCTTTGGCTCTGACTGAGCCCACCCTCCTTGCTGCCTGCAGTGGCGGTGTCTCCGGCTTCCACTTGGTTCCCGACAGCTACCCAAACAGTCCAGTTCTTTATTCTGGGGCAGGGATTTTGCTGCAGTTTTCAAGCAGGGAGCAGCGAACAAGGCTGAGGCACTGGAGAGTTTTGTGTCTGGGAGAACTGAACTAGAGGAAGAAGGTGTGGCCCAAGGTCACGGGTTAGCAGCACCCAAGCTCTTGGCCAGGGTGTGTAGTGGTCTCGCTGGTGGCCATTCCTGACCACCGTCTCCACTGCTGCTTCCCACCCCCCTCTGATGACGCACTGCTAGGGGCTCTCAGACCGCTTCTGACATTTCCTTAGCAAGGGTATGGTGGTAAGGGGTCTGCGCAGTGATTAGGCATACCACCCAATCCAGATCATGTGACCCAATAGGTGTCTGTGAGCCCCACCCCCGCCCTCTCCCCATGCCCCGCCTCCGGACTGCAGCCGAGTCCCCGAGAGGGCAGTGTCGCCCAGTTTCCTGCCGTGGGCGCTGAGGGGTCGGCCCCCACCCCAGTGCGGGTATTAAGGCGGGCGTCTCCTATTTCTTCCCAGTCGCGCGATGGGTACCAGCTCTGGGCGGGGCGCTGCGGTTGTGACAGGCTCCTCCCCCTAGCTCCTCCCCCCCCCCACCCCCGGGCCTTCCTGCTCTAACTGTGCTTCTGAGGGCCCTTGCGCCTGCTCCCAGCCATGGTGGCCTGGCACACCGCTTTCCTCGTTTGCCTCGTTTTCTCCTTGGCCACCCTGGTCCAGAGAGGTAAGGTGGGCACGGGTTGGGGCACCCAGGGACCCCGCCCTGTGGCCTGGGGGTTGCTCTGCGCATGAGCGGTCCTGCCCCCGCCTGGCCGGCCCGAAGTGGAAGCTTCCGGCGACCTAGCCTTCGGCCTAGGGGTGAGGGTCTGAAACTTCAGGGACTGAACCCACTGTGAGTTGTATAGTCGAAGATGTGTGATGGGACCCTTCTTAATGCTGCTTTTAAAAACACTAGGATGTTAAAATCATGACCAAGCAGATGCCACCATTGGTGACAACAGCTGTCCCCAGGAGTGTACCTTGGAAAAGGCAGTCATTTTAAAAATTGGCTATGAGGCCACCTGCAGCAAAAGCATCTGGAGAGCTTCCCAGGCGACTTCCTGGCCAGTTCCATCAGGATCTCGGCGGGGTTGGAGCAGGGACAAGGCAAAAATGGGGCGCGACGGGTGGAGAGGGAAACTTACAGTTCTTATTAGCTCCCTATATGCTTTAGGTGTCTGTCCTTACACTTGTAGAGAATTTGGTCGTATTTTGTGGTGGAGATGGACACAGAAATTGTGTTGAATCAAAGGAACAAGTTTCTTCCACCTTGTGCAACACAATTTGTTCACCAGGCCCAGCCACCTGAGCATCACCTGGGGTCTTGTTAGAAATGCAGTATTTCACACCCTGCCCCTGACCTACCGAGTCAGATTCAGTGTTTTATTTAGCGTAATAACTAGATCTCGGGGTAATTTACAGGTACATTCAAGTCTGAGTAGTATATTCTTACGATAAATACAGTCTGTACTTGGAAACAGGATCTTAAACATGTACCAGCAGAGTCTTCCTACAATTATTTATGTCCCGTCTCCACATCATGGGAACAGAGAAACAAAAAATAAAGCAAAACCCCAAAACGACTTCAAGAAAACACTATAATTGTAGCTGAGCAGGAATTGTGCTGGGAGTTTTCTGAAAATGAAGGCAAATCTAACCGTGAAAAACATAAGCTTAGGCAGACAAAACTTGGTCCTAGCACTGACTTCTAGTGAGGTTTATGTCACATATAAGGAATACTGGCAAAAAGGAGAACTCCTAGCCCAGGAAGTTATGCAAAAGATGCAGAAATGGTTAAGGACAACCCTGCTGGAGTTACTACAAGAACCTTTTAGCGAGCTGCAAAGGTATGGCCAGTCTGGGTTCTAGGAACTGGTGATGCAGAGGGTGAAGAAAGCCAAGACTTTTGTCTCTGCAACGACAATGCAGTGGAGGGAAAAACCAACACAGGCATCAGATCTATGTAATAGACTGCTATGGATAGAAGAAAATAAACAGTCACAGGGGATGAAATTTTTAATGTCTAATGGGCTTTTGTAACGTATCCACTATCCCACCTTATCCTTGAGGGCTGTGTTCCAAACACTGCAGGAGATGGCTGAGACTACAACTATGGATTTTCTCCCTTGGCTAGAATTGGAACACGAAAGCATGTGCATGCTAGATAATTGCTTTGTATGGCATGGGGATTTTGAAACTAGTCTATAAATGGCCAAGCCTCAGGTTTTCCTGCTTTGAGTTCAGAAAGATTGAGGAAGCTAGTAGAGGTGGAAGTCACACAGTGATTAATTGGCAGCTAGGGTTTACTCCCAGGCTTCTATTACTCCACAGTAGTCATCTTAAAACACTGGGAATAATTCATTTAGACCTGGAGGAGGCTGCCCACTTCTAACCTTCAAAGGTGTCCTGAAAACGAGTTTTCTAAACCGGTTCAATCAGTCCATATAATGACTAACAATCACAAAGGTGTCTTTGACCCAGGAATGTGCCCCTTCTTAGACCAGCTATCATTTCCTGGGTGCTTTCTGTGTACCATGTATAAAATATATCTTCCTTCCTTTTTTTTTTTTAAAAAAAAGATGGAGGTTCATGTCGTCCAATCTGGCAGCCTCAAATTTGCTATGTATCCAAAGCTGGCCTTCAACTCCTGATCTTCCTGCCCCTGCTTCCTGAGATTTGGGCTTACATTCCTGATTCTCTTGCCTCTACTTCCTGAAACCTGGGATGACATTTATATGCCACCATACCTAGCATGTGTCTTGTTTCAAATTGTCAAAACTGTTCAGGTTAGGTATTACACTTACTTCCAAGTAAGGGAACTGTGGTCATACATCAAAAGAAATAGCCAGGGTTCAACCCAGATAAGAGTGACACCCTGTGATCTTTTTGTTTTGTTTGTCCTAAGAACACTGAACCAGAAGTAGCTTTGTTTTGGTGGTAGGTATTCATTTTTTCTGTCGTGGGGTTCAGAGAGCTCTGCCAGTGTCCCTTTATTCTTGATCCTGGATCTCAGTAATGGATTGTGCCTGTGCAACCTCTGTAGGCATGCAAAAGGTCCCAGAAGCACATCTGGGGACAAGATGTAAAGTTCTTCCAGGCTCTAGGAAGTAGACACAGGGTTTAGCTGCCCAAAGTTGAAAGGATGGTTAAGAAGTCACTTTCAGCTGGGTGGTGGTGGTATACACCTTTAATCCCAGCACTCAGGAGGCAGAGGTAGGTGGATTTCTGAGTTCAAGGCAGAGTGAGTTCCAAGACAGCCAAGGCTACACAGAGAAACTCTGTCTTGAAAATGCCACCCCTTCATACACAAAAATTCACTCTCTAAAGAAAAGGAGAGTTAACTTCAATGTGTATCTTACTTCTTCTGAAGCATCTTCTCAGTATATCATCTGAAGGTGCCCAGAGTGTAAAAAGTAGTTCTTCTGGGCACCAGGAAAAGGACCTCAGCTGTGTATGTAGGTAAGATTCTTACTTTAGGAAGGCCTTCCATGAGCCAAACTCTTAGTGCATCATACACATTCATTTACTAAACCTGGAAGGTTGATGCTGTGCTCTGCCCCTAGACATACATAGTGATCTGTTGAGTCTTGAAAAAAAAATGGACAAATGAGGACAATATGCAACTCATACTGTTTTGCAATTCTACCTCACTGAAGTCAGGATCATCCAATCAGTAAGTTGACAGCTCTCAAAGGAAGAAATATAAATGGCTAATAAATACTTGAGGAAGTGTTCAACATCCTGAGTCTTCAGGGAAATGCAAATTAAAATTGCTTGAGGTTAGAATGCTGCTGATGAGGATGTGGGAGGGCCTTAGTCACCAGTGATGGAGATGTGCACTGGTACATCCACTGTGGATATCAGTGTGAGGTTCCCCAAAATCTGCAAATAGAATTCTCATATGATTCAGCTGTACCACTCCTGTGCATATAAACAAAGAACCTTAAGTTAACAGGCCACAAAAAGTTAACAGACCATAAGATACCTTCATAGCCATGTTTGTTGCTATACTATTCCCAATAGCCAGAATATGGAATCAGCCTAGATGTCCATCAACTAACATATGGCTAAAGAAAATGTACCCAATGGATTTAAAACAATTTATTATTATTATTATTATTATTATTATTATTATTATTATTATTATTGTATGTGGGGCACACATGCCACAGTGCACATGTGGAAGTCAGAGGACAGCTTTCTTTAGTTTATTCTCTTCTTCCACTATGTAGGTCTCAGGGATCAAATTCAGGTTATCAGGCTTGATGGTAAGTGTTTCTACCCACTGAACCATCTTACTAGCCCCACAATGGAGTTTTTTATTCATCCATGAACAAGAAAAAAATTATATTCCTTGCTAGAAAATTGGTAGAACTGGTAATCATCTTGTTAAGCAAAATAAGTCACTCAGAAAGACAAATACCCAAATGGTTTCTTTCATATGCTGAGTCTATATATGTATGCATGCATATATTTGTATTTATATGACTTGAAGATAAACTAGGACTTTTGGGAAGAAGTAGGGGAATAGTAATGTGACAAGAAAAAGAGAAGTCAATGGGGAAAAAGATAAATATCACATTTTTCTCAGTTGTGGTATATATATCACATACATGTATACATATACACATATACACTCATACATATATATATATATATATATATATATATGTGTGTGTGTGTGTGTATGCCTTCTGAAAGCAAGAAGGAGGCAGAAGAGAGGGAGAATAAGGAGGTAATGGGTAGTGGAGAGAGTGAATATGAGTGAAGTACAACAGTATATGTATGAAAATGCCATAATGAAACCCATTACTTTGTGTGTTAATTTAAAAAATGAAATAAAAGTAGTGGGCAACAACCTACTTCCTATATGGAAACTGTGTAGCTCCAAAGGGTTTAGGAACCTTCTGTTGAGTTTATTCAATTCTATCATGGGGATAACGGCCCTTTCCTCTTGGTGTGGCAGTTATTAAGATTAAATAAGTGTCTAAAGTGCTCAGAACATGACCTGCCTTCCAGCGAGTCCCTTTCAGGTTAGTATATATTAATCCTACTTCTTAGATGTTCCAAGCCACATTTAAAATATATACCTTGCAAATCTTGATGGCATTGTTTACATGATATGTTCCGAGATTGTACAAACAAAATACCAGAGCTGAGATTGCTAAGAATTAGGGGAAGGCGATGGGAAATGACTGCTTAAGTGATAAAAATAAAGACTTTGGGGAGTGATGAACATGTTTTATAAATAGAAAAGGTGATGCTTGTACAACCTAAAAAGTGCTATAAAAATATTGAATTATACATATTGAATGGGTGACTGTGTGGTATGTGAATTATATATTCATCCAAAATAATTCACACAGTCTGGAGGTGTAGCTCATTGGTAGAACACATGTTTAACGTGTGAAAGGCCATAGGTTCCATCTCCAGTACCTCAAAAAGAATATCTAAATAAATTTAAGTTTATTAAAAAAGTAGGATGGATGTGGTGGACCATGTCTGTAATCCCAGCATTTGAGAGGATGAAGTAGGAGGATTGCTGTGAGTTTGGGAACAGTCTGAATAACATAGTGAGTTCCAGGCTAGCCTGGGCTATAGCCAACCAAAGTCAACCAAAGTCAAGCAATGCAAACCAAAACACCATACCATACTAAAAGAAAACAAATGATCTTCTAATTATGC